AGGCCCAGAAATGCACTGGACTGCAGTTTCAGCCCGTTGGGCATCATTTATAGTGTCCATCCAACAGAACCCTCAGGACTGGAACCCATGAACACCAACTGCTTGCAAAGTCTATCAGTAGCTTAGGCCAATGGGCCACGGGGGACAGCTTCGGACCGTCATAATTTGCAAGCTAACTGCTATACAGAGCGTCTTATCCTCCACTGTCACGCAAATTAACAAGATTGCAGAGGAGAGCGTTGGCCCCGAAGTACACGACGTCCACTGACAGTAGTGATGTACGACATAGCATTTAGAAACTGTCAGCGCGGATATCTTTGACGTAATTATGAGTAGGGGATTTTGACATAAAGAACTGACGGCACAGTGCAGCCAGTTTCAAATGAGGTAGTCGTGCAAATGCACGTGAAAGACTAGACCGCAGATTTAGCCAGTTTGGCATCATCAGTAGTGTCCATCCATCAGGAGTCGAACCTATTACCACCAAATGCTTGCACCGCCTATCAGTAGCTTATGCCAATGGGTCACAGGGGACAGCTTCGGACCGTCATAATTTGCAAGCTAACTGCTATACAGAGCGTCTTATCCTCCAATGTCTTGCCAATTAAGAACGCTGAAGAGGACTCGGATGGTCGCGAAAGACGATGTACGACATCGCATTTAGAAACCGTCCTCGCGGATATCTTTGATGTACTTACTATTAGAGGATTTTGATACAGCTATCTGAGGGTTCACCGCAGCCAGTTTCCAATCAGCTAGTCCGAAGCTGTCCTCCGTAGCCCAGTGGCATAAGCTGGTGAGTGGGGTTGTAACCCGTGGGTGGCACGCATTACATGGTTGGTGCTTGATGAAATGTCTATGGAAAATTCCATTACAAAAGACAGCACGGAGCGATTGAAAAGGTTTTCCAAATCGTTTCCGATGGGGGTAAAAACGCATTTAATAGTCTACCATCCGGTGAGACTGCATGTTGAAAACACACAACATATGAGAGCTTCGTTTTTGCGTCTGTCATCTATGGATGTTCGAACCGCTGAAGACTTTCGCAACGCGATATACTTGCGTGACTTTCCTCGCACAAACGCGATCACTTACCTTGAATGGAGGCCTTATAGTTTCTGATGCTTCCGCAACTAGTGTTAAACGGACTGACGAAATGTTCCCACGTGCTACTCGGAGCCTCGCATGGCAGAAAAGTCGTTGGTTGTCTCAACTAGTCAAGCTAATATGTCGTGGAACATAATCAAACTCATTGCGTCCAAAGTTTCCACATGGCATTCCGCAGAACAGATGCGGCCTAAGGGGGACGTAGATATTCACTTATTTGATCACGAGTTCCATGTTGGTGAATATCCGATAAGGCACAGACGACATATCTGCTTCTTTAAATCTGGTAGGAGTGTTCATGTGACCGTATAGCGGGAACCTGGAGACAACTTCCTTCAGGTAGGACTTGAACTGTTCTGCAGGAGCGAATTGGGACTCCAGGGCACGGATGTTCAAATCACTAGTAATAAGAATGTGGCTCTACTTCCTGTTTATCACGCACTTTAGTGCAGGTGTCAGATAGAGGTCCATCTCGGGCGTGGATGAAGGAGGGTGGTAAACGACCGCTAACAAGAAGACGTTATCACCTCTTAAACGTAAACAGCTACAAGGGGAATTCTGAACAATGTTGACTGGGTCTTTTGTGGGCTCACATTGGAAGTCACTGCGGAGGTACAGAACCACCCAACACCATTTCTGGGTCAGTCGTTCCGAACAACGGACATGCTTGATAGTGCGATCTCGATGTCGTGGCGTAACCATGTTTCCGTTATAGCGCTGAAGTCACAGGTCGCAGTCGCGAAATTTTATTAAGCAGTGTGCATACGGAATGGAAAGTTTTGAGTCCCTGAAAAACCAAACAAGATACAGAGTCCTCGGTATTATCATTTTTCAACATAATCGCCCTCAAGTGCAACCCACATGTTCCAGCGGTGCTGGAGCGCCTTTATCCCAGTAGAAAACAACTCCTCAGATTTCGACTCTTAAAACGCTTCCGCAGTTTCATTGACGTCACTGTCTTTGTTTGTTAGCCAAACCATTTTTCAGGCTCGGAAATAGGCAAAAGTCAGAGAGAGCTAGATCTGGTGAACAGGGTGGGTGGAGAAGAAATTGGAAACTGTAATCGTGGATTGTTTTCTAAACAATGGAAGAAATATTGGCTGGAACATTGTCGTTGTGGAAAATAAATCCTCTCGTCAGCATTCGTGGCCTTATTTTCGTGAATTTGTTTCACGGAGACGTTTCAGAAGCTCACAGTAGTACTTTGCGGTGATGGTATAGCCTCTTTCAACGATATGAATCATCACCACACCTCGGGAATGCAAAAAACGGAGGCCATCACCTCGCCAGCTGACGGTGTGACCTTGGCCTGCTTTGGCTTGCATGATGCACGCTTTCAGTGCTTGGATTTTTCATTTCTTTCTGGTTGTAGGTGGTGAATTCAACACGCGTGCGTAACGATGAAGCATGTAAGAAAATCTACGGTATCTGCCTCAAACAACGCCAAATTTCTCTTTGACATTATATGTCGAATGCGCTTCTGCAACGGAATCAAAAGAGGTGGCACCCTGTGAGCAGAAATTTGGAATAGCCTATCGCCTTAGTCAGAATATTATCTGCTCAATTCTTGGTGATGACCAAACTTTCTGTTACCTAACGAGTCGTAATTCGGCGACCTTGCATGATCATATAGATTACTACGCCAAGATTTTCATTGGTGGTGGCGGTTGATGGTCTCCTGATCTGAACTTATCTTCATCTCTGCGGCGTTTAAACTCTTGCACCCAACATTTAACTGTCGCATATGAAGATGCACTGTCATGCAATGGATTGATTCATGGATTTCAGATGGCAACATTCCTTTAAGATGGAAATTATGTACAGATGTTCTACTGGTTTCGATTTTGTTAAGGTTAACACTTGGTCCTTTCTCCTGATTTCGATGTAGCAATTGGGGATGACGGATGAGGTGCAAGCCATGCTACTGTCGCCTCGAACGGAGCAATTTTCGAGTTTGAAGTGTTCAGTTTCTGCGACTAGACTGTTGTACTTCTGTGCTAATCCTAGTACACATTTTACAAAAGGAACCGTTGTACGCTTAACACAGAACCAAAGGAAGCACGGGGTGCTATTATAGCTCCTTAGTTCGGTTCAATCGATTCTAATGCACCTCGGATGGTAACGGCTAATCCAGTGGGAACATGCCACTCCTACTTTTACTACTTTAAGATATATTTAACTAGCACAATAGGCTTCATTTACAGCTACATGTGTTGTGGACATAGTGGCCGAATGCCCGGTTTGCGATTTAGCAGCACCTGGCCGTCGGATAGTGTTCGGTCGCCGATCATCAGGTCAGAGTACTGGGCTAGCGTGTTTTGTGTCCATGTTTCATACGATCGCGGGCAAGGCAGCTATTGTAGACCGTTATCACGCTGGGAAGGTTGACTGATCGCATTGATCTTGATAGTAAGCAGTTATACTCCTGTTAAATGCAAGAGAACACGGTCCACTTCGTGTTTATGCAGCTGTCCTATCTATAAAGGTTCGTCGGAAGTGCCGGCCGAATGCGTCAGCGTGCCAGATTATACGTGGGTTTGAGAGAGGGGTTTCGTGGCCGACATTTTGTATCGTCGCAAGGTGGGCTTATCGGGATGCCTGTAGCTGCTTCAGACAATATTGGAGCTGGATGAGTGAGAGACTGTTCGAACATCGTTGAAATGCACTATCGACTGAGACCAAAAATGTCCCCGAAGATTGGAATTACGCAGCACTTGCAAGTGGATATCGGTGAAACATTGCACGGTAGTTAAGATGCAGGGTAAATGTGGGATGCACTGGCAGCTTTCTCGAGAAAATGGTATCACGAGGTAATGTTTGCAAAACAAGGCGAATAAGTGTAAATCCAATTGTGTGCGATAAATTGCGGTGGAGTAAAGACGAAAAAAATCAAGAATGCGCGACCGTCAACGTCCTTCATGGTTTCCGGCAGAAAAGTTGGCGATCGAGGGAACAACCCTGTCAGTAGAAATTCAGTGGCGCTGGTGGTTCGGATGGCTAGCCGAACAACCTTCCCGTGGTGCCAGCTGGGTGGTTCGGGTTAATTCCGTTCCAGAAAATGCTTCGGCGGCAGTGTTAGAGGATGTGGTGGGATTTCGCCTGGCAAGCATTCTCCCTATACAAACCAGATTTGCGTTTAACAACGAGGTGGCGTGGCGGATGTAACTCGCCACTAAATAAAGTCACGGCCTCTTCCCGTTTCCGGAGGATCATTCACACAACATGAACGTCATCGAATTCGAAGCGTTCCTTCGATTCCCCCTTTGGTGGCGAACCCAGCGAACAAAAACACACACAGAGCCACATTCACATACTCACACAACATGGCTAACTCCAAATACTCACTTAAACATACTTCTACATGTCAGCACATACACACATAAATTCCTATGCGATTAGTCAAAATGTAATAATTTGTGTAATTGTCAACCACACCTGTCTGTATTACCATGACCATGCCTTTGATGGTGTGCCTCGCAATGACGATAAATTATTTATTTATATGGCATTTATTTTGTGAATCGTGGCGATCTGCCGTCGTTACCTATGGCCTAGTGGAATTAACCTCTGGTGGTAAAAGGCCAGGGGTTTCTTACATGGTTTGCTCGGGTAATGAGTTTAGCTCGGGAGTCTCAATGTAGATGGAAGCTGGTTGCAACGAATAACCTCCAACCACAGTTGGGTTCCTCTAAGAGGTCAGCAATTCGTCGTACTTACACTTCATTGCTACGCAACCATCATTAGTTGCGCGTGAGCTAAGGATACTGCAATCGCCGCCCGGTCCCTTACGCAGACTGGAACAGGTGACGTCTGCGTTGCAAACAGACACCTTGTCCTTTCGGCCACTGGCCTGTCGTAGAAGTCGTGCGACTGCGTACTACCAAGTACCAAAAGAACGGCGCATAGGTGGTATGGATTTGTCAATGAACAGATCCAAAGGTTGTCTCCTCGTTATTAAGTGAAAGCAAACAATGCAACCTGATTCTTAAATTGCGGAAAAGTCGCTCACGAGAAGTTGGAACAAGGCAGCAACGCATGTGAAGCCAAATTTTTGTCAAAGCGTAACAGCAGAGGTGAAGTGGAGAACACAAGCCAATGCGGAATCAGATGAGTGGAGCATGAAGAAGACAAAAAGCAATAAAATTAACTTATGTACAGCGGAGTGTGAAAAGCCACACGAACACGATCAACGCAAGACATAGATGAAGGGAGGAACCGGATGGATCATACGAATGGTAAAGGAGCGAGGAAATTAAAATCAACCACCTGCCAGGTAGTGGGGAAAAAGCTAAATGAAGGTGCATGATTCAGAAAGGTTCGCCACCTGAGCGTCCGACTGCCGGACTTTGCCGGGACACAAACGGATCTTCGGCATCTTCCTCTTCCTCCTCCTCACCCTCACCGTCTGAACGAGAATCCGAGTTGGAACGGAGCTCTTCAGAGACGGTTGGTTGTGCTGAATCCAAAGTTGTGGAGCTGTGAGCACCGGTTAGATCGCGTGAGTCTGAAGCGATGTTATTATTATGCTCGTCCGGAAGTCCAACGGCTTCGGGTTGGGGGTGCAGCACTACTTGAGTGGGGACGTGCAGGTCAGGAGCGGGTTCGGTTGGTTGGCAGACAGAATGGTCGGTGTTCGCGATTCGTGGAAATTCATGTTCATTAGAATGCAGAGATATTCCGCTGTTCGGTGCAGTGAGATGCGAGCCATCTGTGCCACTCTCCGGGATGGAAGGAGCAGGGCAATGATCCTAAAAATTCGAAACAGAAAGGAAATTAATGCCAAAGGCAAGGGCAAAGTGGTTTTGGGACGAAAACTGCTAGATGTAAGGATTTCGAGCCAATTATTCTCAAAAAACGCGACCAAATAAGCTGGAGGGTCAACATGATGACATTATGTAGACGGCAACCGTTGCAGCAAACACGCACGCGCAAACACAAAGATACACACATACAAGATAAAAAGTCACAACGGCCTCGGTGAATCGCATTCAAAGAATCGCAAGTGACTGAACGTTCATGCGCATTCGAAACTGACCGCAAACCACTTTAGTGGCGACATGGGGTAATGAGATAGCTGATAGTGGGCGGAATATTTCGTAATGGACGGTCGTTGTTGTTGTATAGGTGAATAGACACGTGAAATTAACACGTAACAATACCACAGACACAGTAAAGTGGATATGGAACACGAGGGTTAGTTAAGTGTTGCACGACAAATCAAAGCGGTAAGCAGATAAATAAAACAAAATTTAAGCAAGCATACGGAGTTGACAAACTATCTGTTGTAACAGGTGTTGAAATCCTGGAGCAATGAAGGGTCGAAATTATGAATAGTAATTAAGATCCATTATATTTATGCTCAATCAGACAGCCACCGCAAATGCAGGAAAGCATCGGACGGTCGTCTCTTCCTTTCGGAAATCGTCAGCGGTCCGCATTCCATCTGGCCACTGTGGATCCAGAAGCTGCGCGTCCGTTGTTGAGACCGCTGGACGACGGGGGAATGCAGCGGTCGACAAGGGTTATTAGATGCGACATAGCAAGTACTGGGTTATTCGTAAATTGTCAGTATCACAATTCACTTCCTAAACTTGAGGGTGACAGGTAAATCAGGAAACGGATGCCATTAACCAATAATATGGAAGTACATCCTTATGATTTAATGTAGCCAGTGTGAGATTTGTGTGACAGGTTGACAGCTCAAACTAGCAAAAGAGGGCTGCAGCAGGGGATTGTCACGTGAGTGATTGACTTCGACTCGTTCGATCACTTGTGACAACTGTATGCCGATATGCTGTTTTTTCAGAGTCGCGTACGCCACATAACGTGTGTCGCGCTAACCATATATGGTGTCAAAGTTAACTGTTAAACCTCGTGTTCCACTGACCTATGCTGCTTGGACGATAACGACCTAAGAGGCGTGCGTTACCACAACATCTAAAGAATACAGTGCACGGGATATCAAAACAAAGTGGTTTATCAACACACAACATAGTAATAGAAAAAAAGATGACAAAACGATGAACTCACGGCACACGACGTGCTGGGGATGCCCAACGAATCGCAAGCGGAGCGCTTGATGCGGTTGACGACTGGACCGGGATGACAGCCGGGGGTGTAGCGATTACGCTCCTCTGCACAGTAGCGGCGTGGCCAGCGTTGGTCCACCATGGTCGGGTGCGGAATAGTAGGCTTAACTTTGGATCTGCCACAAGAAGGTCCGAAGACTCGAGGCCAACGGGTGCAGTCACCGCAGGAAGTCACCGGGGGGCCAGTGGTACTAGAACAACACGCGAGAGAATCCGCGCTGCCGCTACCGGTGATAGCTCTGGGGAACGTATTCTCATCAGTCGCTAAACCAGCATCGCCAGCAGGTAAAAAGGAGAGCGAGGTGGAATCTGCAAGAGTGCAATCAGTCGAGGTAGTCTCGACTGCTTCAGGATCCGTCATATTGTCGATCAGGTTCAGATTGGCGAAATCGCGAACAGCTCTACCTGAGCCGATTGGGGAGTGTGCCACTGAATCGGTATCATCCCCTGAATCTTCAGACAGGGTATCTCGACTGTATCCCTCCACAAGTGTATTATCCAGTCCTGGAAGCCCAAATATGGAATCCGCGTGGATATCGTCAGGTGTTTGGGGTGAATAAGCTCCTCGATCATCTCGAGAAGAACAAATATCCGGTTGACGACCAACAACTGCGCGTGCATCAACGTAGGAAGGTGAGCTACCATCTTGGTCAACCCATAATCGGCAGGGCGGACAGGTCAAATCCAGCGCTTCTGCAGAGCGGCACAGATCTGGTCGGCAGGGTTGATCGGAACTACTGATCGGAGCAGAGTGATAATTTCGATTCAAAGTTGGACTGCTGGAGTTGCTGCAACCGAAGCCAGCACCATCAGCGAAACGCTCCATGCCATCATCAGACGGATGGAATTCAATGGTTTGCGAGCACATGTTGGGTAGATCGGGAAAAGATGGTGTTTCTTGGCGACATTCGTCGCTCTCCATGATGGTGCGTTCCGAATCTTGCAAAAACGGCTGATTGGGCCACATGTCATCGGAACACATGCTCCCAATAGCTGTGGCGGTGGCGGTGTAGTGATCCAAATGACAGCTAAACGATTCGCTAAGCGGCTGTTGCTCGTCGCTTGCGTGTGTGTCCATGGAGAACAGGTGAGACGTGCCGACAAAATCGGAGGTTTCCGTCGATACAGGTGTACTTGAGTGGCGGCTAGGCAATCCCGCATCCATTGCAAGACCGGTCCACAGGTTATCCCCACCGGAGGTAACCGCGAGCAGTTGTGTCGTAGCTCTGGCGTAGGACGAGTGCGATGAGCGCGAAGACGTGGGTATCCTGATGGGAGGTGAAAATCCAGGCGGAAGATGACTCCCTGCAGAAAGCCCTCTGTGGAATGGTTGCCGGTTGGGCAAATTTAAATGGCGACTGAGTGGTGGGTAGCAAATGGTTCGTGTGTCCGATTGTCCTGGTGTTGGATGCGAGGTTGTGGATGCAAAGCTTAATGCGGTGGAGCACGGCAATCCCACTCGAGAATGGTTGGAGATTCGCGAACTTTGTTCACTCGGGGTATCAGAAGAATGGGGGAAACGCGAATCGGTAAGGGGGCGAAAAAGGTTGGGGACAGCAGCAGCGGCGGAAATAGTAGTAGTAGTGTTTAGCTGTGTGGTGATAAGAGGAAGCATTGGAATTCGATGGCCGTGCGCATCAACAGGTGGCCGAATAGTCATTGCGAGACCAGACGAAACAGTGGTAACCGCAGCAGACCTTGATGTCGCTTCTGCGGGAAGTACAGTTGAAGCGACGGACATGGATCTAGAGCTAGTGGATCCGGCTTGAGATGGGATTGGAGGCTCTGCACAAGACAGAAAGCGAACAACACACATCCCAGTGTCACAGCGCTCATGGTTCATTCGGCAATCGTCGTGAAGCCACCAGACATTATCCAACGGATCGTATGACTCCACCGTGTTCAAGAGACGGCTGCCGTTGTACCTGCACAAAGGTTGAAAAACGGGCAAAGAATATCGAGTGATTAGATCGTCACAATCTATCGCGAAATGAAAAGCTCGAGGAAGCTGATCAAAAATTTTTGTGGAAACAAAAAAGAGGAGAATATTAAAACATGCTGCAAATGTTCGGGATCCTGAAGTCGAGCACAACGGATGTTCGAGAAGTTACGAGCCAATAGTGATCTTGAAATCGATCTTTGCGACTACCTGATAACATTCCACTGCGATCGATAATTGTAAATAGTTCATCAGAGTCGGCTCCTGGCCAGACAGCCACTACGCTCTATCGGGGCCCGTCAGTAATGCATATAACTTTCGCAAACAGGTTGTTCATACAGGATCCAACCGAAGCGGACTATCAAAAGCAGCTTCTGTACTTGGTCTGAAGAGATCGCCAATCGCTTTTTCTCTTTCATCATAAGACCAATGCTGGAGTACGGGGCTCACCTGCATATTGCCCGAGGCGAGATCGAACGGGTTTAGTACGTCGCTACCTGGCTCATTTCAAATCTACGAAATTATCATATGATGACCGGCGCAAGAGTCTATGACTCTACGGCTTGTTCTATCGTCGAGTGCGAGTCGATCTCGTCATGATCTATCATACATTACATCTCAGTGACGGGCCCAGGTTGAGGCCGCTGTTTCACTCTCAAATGCCACGCAACACACGCGGACACTGGTACAAGCTTGCGATGCGGGGTATAAAGTGATTACCCCACCCCATGTACTACGAACGGAGAGTGGTAAATGTTTGGAACAGTCTACCAGAAGAAGTCACGGAGGCTGAATCTGTTAGAATTACATTTCACCACCATTCTATTCAGAGAACGACTGCACACTAGCAATCATCCTCACCATCATCATCACCATCATCATCATCACCACCACCAGCACCACCGTCATCATCATCATCAATGCCCGTTTGCTGAAGGTAAGAAACACACCTCAGCTAATGTGCTGCAGTAAAAAAGAACACAGGACAAAAAATTCAAAGTGAGTAATACAATTCAAGGTTGGACTTGGAGAATACAATAAACATACTCTTTCCTCGTATCACTCATCCCCATTGTTACTTGATTCTTCAACTGTGAAGAACCCTACCTCCGCCGATGAAGTTGTTCTCTCGTCACCCGTCAGCTCAACCACACAGTTCTCGACAGGGAGCTGCCAGTCCCGAAGTCTGCCATTTTCGATACTGGGATCTGGAATGCAGTTCAAAGTAGCAACTTTAAACGTGCGCACATTACTGCAGCAAGCTGGATTTGCACGCACGCTTGAGACCCTTGCAATTGATGTCTGCTGCCTGAGGGAAACTCGACTGTAGGATTCCAACACAGCCTACCAGCTGTCGTCACCAGTCTAACCACACAGTTTCTTTTATCTTCGCCTTTATAGTGACTCTGAGTCCACCGCATCTGAGTAAGCTGGTGTTGGAATCGCCCTCAGTGCTAGAGCCGATGCCGCCCTCCTTGACTGGACTGCAGTCAATAGTCGCCTATGCGCTGTAAGTTTATGTTTGAAGAAAAAGTCATGGTTGTATGTGGGCTGAGATACTGCCAGGGCGCCCAGACCTAGACAGGAGGACGATTAGGGTCCTCATCCAAAGCCTGTCCGCAAGGCAGCGGGGAGGTGGCAATGATTTAGTTTTACAGAAATGGACGCCATCCCATTTCAAAACTCCAACCTGGAGGACCAGGATACTGAGTTTGTCTGACCTCTCACCATTGACCAACCTGGTAGGAGTAGCTCTCAAAGTGCCCGGAGGCATCACCCAGAATAGCTCAATGGGTCAATGAGGTACGCGAACTGTCACACCACGTAAAGGTCCAGTCTCGTTGCGACGGTCCAGTCTCGTTGTGACAGAGTCCAGTCTCGTAGCGACGGTCCAGTCTCGTTGCACTATTTAAGGATGGAGATGAGGTCCTCTGCAAAGCACTGATCTCCTAATTCGAATGTCCCGGCTAATTGGAGCGAGTCGATTATTGTGGCAATATACAAGAAGGGCAGTCGCACAGACTGTTCTAACCACAGGGGTATTAGCCTAATGCCAGTTGTAACAAAATTATTGGCCTCGATTATCGTTTGTCGCCTCACTGTGGAACGGGAATCTCGGATTAGGGAAGAGCATGCCGGTTTCCGCCCAGGGCGTGGCTGTATAGACTATATATTCACTTTGCGGCAAGTGCTAGAGCAGCGCCAGGCATACCGCAGATCGACAATAGCTGTGTTCCTCGATTTCAAGAGTGCGTTCGATTCAGTCGACCGATCGATTCTGTTCGAAATACTTGTGCGGTAAGGTGTTCCCACGAAATATGTGAACATCTTACGTGCTCTATACTCGGACACTACAGGCGGCGTCAAGGTTCACGGTGGCCTATCGGATAGCTTTCCGACTACAAGTGCCGTTCGTCAGGGTTGTCCGATATCCCCGTTTTTGTTCAATTTCGTCGTGGATTCTATCATGGAGTGTTCACTTGGGGAATCTCACGATGTAGGCATTGAAGTGCTGCCTGATGAAAGGTTAGTTGATCTAGATTATGCGTGTGACGACTGTCTGAGTGAGTCTGGATGTGACGAATCTCTACCTATACCATTCAACTCCCCCCACTACACTTCTGTAAATTGAATATCCTTGTTATTAGTGACGAAAATAGACTATTTTCCATTATCCAGTCCAGCTTTGTTTGAGAGTAACTCAGAAAAGATATGAGACCAACACAGTGAGGAACACATCATCAACAACAGTAGTAAACAAGTGCTCCGTGCAGGCACCAAGTAGTCATACTGTGGTGGACTAAAGGCAAACGTTACTGCGCCAGTTATCAGTAGTGCGGAAATGCTAAGATGGGAAATGACAATCAGCCAACAGCAGGCAGTGATGACTCCCCAAAAAAGAAGAACACTTTATACCTGCAGTTGTATGCGCACGATGAATGGACGCACAAGCAATGCACACCACGCAACCCTCAGACATAGAAAGAAACCCACCCAAGGCACCCTCCAACATGGATTGCGAGGAGCAGTGGATGTCTCGTTTGACTGAACGCATGCACCTAGTAGAAGCTATGTTAGAGACAATTAATAATTCCGCTTGCACCTCGAGTTCTTGCAATATGATCGAAAATACCCCAATGCGTAGGAATGGTGATGAGAGAAGAGAGGGAGGACTTTAGGTGAGACTTCAATCAACAACTGCAGTACATCGGCCATTTGAACTGATGTTTCGCTGCCATACCACCATGATGATCTATGAGATAAAGAATAATAAGAGGCAGAGAAGGAGGGCTTACCTATAAACCTTAATGCCCTAAGCAAACATGCAGGGTCAAGACGCCTATACCTTGTGTAGACAACATACCGTCACAAACAGCTGGATATCGTGCAAAGATAAGGCGGCATCAGCAAGACAGCTTCCTTGCGGCTTTCACTGTACCGCGTCATAATCAGTCATTTCCCCGCAGATAACCCAGCCCGAAACACACTTTAAACAAGCAGTCCGACTATGAGACGGCAGCAGACGCGCCACTGACGCCGATTGGGAGCCATATTTTGTAACGTCCCGAGCCAAGCACAAGGCGAGTCACGTGGACTCCAGCCCAAAAGGCGAGAAGGACCAACGCACGCAGATGAGGCTTGAATGCAATAGAGAAAAGATCTAAGATCAAGATGCACACATCGTGACAACAGAGCAAACAGTGTGTGTGCGAAGATAAGGCGGCATAAGCGAGACAGCTACCTAGCGTCATATTCGATTTTTTCCCATAGATAAGCCAGCAACAAACACAACGCAGCCGAGCAGTTCGATGAGGAAACGACGGTAGAAACAATCTCCTGTAAACACCCGAGTTCAAGTATACAGTGTGTTGCTTGGAACCCAGCTTTGAGGGGGAGATGGACCAAGCCGGCCAGCTAGATATAAATAAGTCCCATCTCAATAAAAGTGATAAGCAGACACAGAGAACAAGTATCCTAGTTAATGCAAAGTATTCGAGCTTAGATGCAGATGGTCTAATGGAAACTGGTCTGCTCACAGCTACTTTAGTATAAGTCTGCAGTGTGGGTAAAATGGGCGGACGCGGGGTCCGCCGGTTAGGTAATGATCGCAACCACTGAGTGTTGAGAAAAGTAGCATAGCACTGGAGAGGGATAGAGAGAAAACATTAGATATAACCAGAAAGGACTGAAACATTGTATGTGTGTGCAGTAACCGGAGGAAAAGGGAAAAAAGTAACTCACCCGGCAGCAACATAAATCTTGCCGGCCAAAGGGCAAGCGCCGACATAGCAACGAGCCACATTCATGCTGGTGACCAGAGTCCATTGCTGCAGACGAGTGTGGTACGCTTCCACGGTGTCTAAATGCAGGGGTCCGCGGCCTTCCGCCCCACCGTAGCCACCGCAAACGTAGATGGTGTCCCCGAGGAGGGCACAACCAGCTCCGGAACGTCGCATATACATCGGTTTACAAGCGGACCATGTACCGTGGCGGAGACTGAATCTGTTTGCGAGGGGTGGATGAGAAGTAAACGCAGTGAAGGGTAAGACAGAAAGAGAATAAGTATAAAAAGAACAACTGAACCGTAGAAACAGACACAAGCCAGCACTTCTCGTGGAGGCGGACGACGTAGCAGATCAAATGCCAAAGTGTAGAGAGTACGTAAGTTGCTAATGCGCTGGTCCATTCGTGTCACATATTGAAGCGACTGTGCTATTATCAAGGTATATCAGGCCACAACTAGGAAAGGAAGTGGTTTAACTGTTTCGCGCAAAATCGGAATGTTAATTACCTATGACCACAGAAGGACAGTTTTGTTTTAGATATTGTGTGACGTGTAGTCTTCTGAGATTCAAAAAATTAAGTCTGGGCAGTGATTATAAAACTGTTGTTTATGGAAAATAGAACAAGTAAACCGCTATTAAATTGCAATGATTTTTCACTGACAACTTCTCATCATTGTCTCAGCCTACCTCCCAATGTGAATTGGCCCACATGCGCTCTTAATCCGTAGTGCTCAGTCTAATCCACCCTCGCTCTGTTAAGGCCAAGTTGAACTTGGCTCATATTGGGCGACGTCAAGTCCCCTCTGACCGCCTACCGAATGTGAGTATTGACAGCATATATAGGCAGCGCTCCACTAGCCTGCAGCAAATACGTAAATGGGAAGAGATAATAATCCCCTTATATACAAACAAGACGCATCGTCTCTTGGCATAAAATTAAACTCATGCTACTTATGAGTGGGAGTATTTTAAGGAAAAGTTACTGAGTCGTCCCAGCAACTCACAAGTCAGATAGTTAAACAACCAATCCGAAAACGCACTAGGAATTAATGAAGCGATTCTGCACGAACCGAAAACTCCTATACAGCCACGTTAATGGCCTTCGCGTAAGGTGAAACACGGAATTCCAGCACTGGCCACGGCTGACGCGGTCACTAAGAAAAGCAGTCGATTTCCTAAGGATTCATTCTTCCCATCCTTCCCAACGGGTATCCCACCTAAATATTCTTCTAGATTTTACTGCTCCTCTGTCAAGCTTACTACTTAACATCACCTTCAGTGCAAAAGATGTGTTAAAGAGCTTGTTATTCTTGCGTATTCACAGTTCTACCGGACTCGACAACATTCGACCGAAGGCTTTGCATGCAGCAGCCAGTGATCTAGCAGAGCCACTGATCTTTTCCTATCAGTCATATCGAGAGAACAACCGAATTCCACCAATAATAATAATAATAATAATAATAATAATAATAATAATAATAAGGATAGTGTTTTATCGTCGAGGATGCGATGCACGCTTGCATAGGCATGATCATGGCGATACAAACGTTAAGGATCGGTAAATGTAAGTAACGGTAAAACTTTATCAATGGCATAGGTGCATATGAATTTTATATGTATGAATGTGTATGGCCACGTTACTTGGAGTTGTAAATGTGTGAAAGCGAGGGGTCATCGCTAATATTCATAAGGGAGATAACCGCACTAATCCTACCAATTGCCGTACATTAACGATGCTTCTTGTGCTTTCCAAACTTATGGAATCAGCCATCTCAGATACGCTGACGCAGTAACTGGAAAACCACAACCTAACAGCCCCAGAGCAATATGGCATATTTTAAAAGCGCTCACGTACTACTAAGTTATTAGTTGCACGTAACAACTGGACCGAAGCAGTTGATTGTGGAGTAGGAGTCGATGTCATCCATCTAGACTACTCAAAAGCGTTTGATCGCTGGGATCATTGAATTCTCCTTCACAAGCTTCAGAACTATGACACTGATGACCCGATCTTGCGTGATACAAACAATTTTCTACACGAACGTCCGTTGGAGGTCAGAGTCCGGGAACCTCTGTCCGATGAAATTGATGTGGAGTGCGGTGTAACACAAGGTTCGGTTGCCAGGGTCTCGTCTATCCTTTGTTAGTTTAAAAACGACCTAGCGAGATCAATTAGTTCCTGCTTCGTTTTTTCGCAGATACTATCAAGATATGGCGAGTTATCAGAGAACCGGACGATCAAGGAAGACTACAAGGAAATCTTAAGCCTTATTTCGAACCAGTCAGTACAGAATGTCTAACCATACATGAAGATAAATGTCACTTTGTTAATTACGCCATAAGCTTGGAGCGCACAAATTGCAGCTCCGCTCCCAGGAACGTGGCTTTGATGTGCTTATACGGAGTGACTTAGGCTGTTCAAAAGAGGCTGAGAGATACGAAAAAAGACAACCAGCAGGACAGCCTACCGCAAAGGGAATTCCGGAGAATTGACCCATCAATTGTACCCATGGTGCATAATTCTTACGTGTGCCTTCACATTGAATACGCAATCCAAGTCTGGAAACGTTGGTTGAAACTTGACTTAGAGGCGCTAGAAGCACCACAAAGAAGGGCAACATAAAATGTCAAGGGCCTACGAACTCACTCTTATCAGTGATGGCTGAAGTTGCAGGGGAATCTTAGACGCACGCTACTGAAAGCTACGAAGTGATCTTATATTAGTGTAACAAAAATGGAGTGACACCAAGTACGTATGCCATTATTTGCTAATACAGCCACAGCATTAAGCTCAGGGGTAATTGCTAAAATTGAGGGAATAATATAGCCGTATAGAGCAGTGTTGATGAAATTACTTTTCCCTTGGGGTTTGCCAACCCTGGAACGCGCTCCCAGACTCATGTGTATCCTCAACTACTTTGGAGATTTTCAAAAATGGATTGGATGTTGCTCTTAGCACAGCACTTCGATAGTTAAATTGGACTATTGTGGATTATCTCCAAGATGCTCTTCTACTAGATTTGTGTGTTACATGGACACAAAGAGCCGGCGCATGAGTGAACGACCAACATCAACGATCAATCTACCTCGTGTTCTACTGTAACCTTGAATTCAAGTTTTATTTGACACTAACACTATTTAGCAACGCATTTATCACGGTAGACTAACGTACCTTTTGATTTTATCGTATTCATTCCAAATCATCCTATGGAGCGTGTCAAGGGCCTGCTTTTAACTCGTGATTAATCACTGTTCATTGTTCAGACAGCCGTTTCGCTTTATTAGGATTCGTCATTGGTGCGCGTTCGCTCGGTATCCTTCAGGGAATCGAACACGTGACCGCTCGCAAGCTTATACCACTGAAGCACGACGGACGGTAGTTAGCTGCTAACGGTTACAGGTTTGCCTCCCTGAAGCAGTTGGCAGCGAACGGTAACTCAGTGTCTATAGTCGCCAACAGGTACCCACGATTGCCATAGACCCGTCCACTGGAGTCAGTCCACAATTAGTGGAACACTTTCGAACACCTGGCCCAAGCCGGGAGTCAAGTCTTGGCCAACGGCCGCAACGGTTCGACAATGCGCACGGACAATCTTAAAATTCTACGAAAAATCCCCTACTCATAAGTAGCCAAAAATAACACGAAAAGGGAGTTCTCCTATGCAATCGAGTTGCGCAATATGTACAAACTGAAGTCGAACAGAAAATGTGGACGAATCAGGCAGCGGAAACTTACGCTTCCATGCTATTCAACAGATGAGATCCGTCGTAGCCACCCAGACAATACAGTGTGTCGTCGACAACTACGAGACCAGCGCCCTCTCTTGCAGTGGTCATGTCTTCGAGAATTCGCCACTCATCAATTTTCGGATGATACACCTCGAGCGACCGGAGACGTGACTGGCCGTCAAATCCACCACAAACGTAAATGAGACCTAGAACGAAAAGAAGAAATTGAGAAGTGCTGCAATCACACAGGGGGAGTGTAAGTTTGATAGGTAGATGTCCGCTGAAGCGGCCCGAAATCCGTACCTAACAATGGACCAATTGGTGGACTGAGCTACAACTGCAGGTACACGAAAACCACTTAACTAATATACATTTGGAGGAATACGGAATGTAGAGCACGTCTGGACGCCACTCTGTATAACACAACACCCTATTACAGTGAAATTTGTTAGGAAACACGACGGGGATCTCTGATAAAGTCGGATCCACTCCTTGAGGTTAGAGTCCCGGTGCTAGACAAATCAAAAGAGCTTCCAAGTGACACAGGGAGTGAATTCGTAGAATACAGGCGACATGAATACACTCATGAGGAGGGAGATTTGATAAGATGTACATGGTTCATTGCAACCCGATTACAAGCCATGTAGGTCAACTACCAATCCGGAAGAGCTCCAGACGGCTGTTTCATCCTCCAGGGACTCCTCAGTGGTGTGCCCATGGTCCCCTGTGCATTTTCCCTTTATTGCGAAAACAAGGGTGGTAGATATGTATGGGGCAGTGGCTGGGACCCAGTCCCTTTAGACAGCAGAACCGTTTGTTGAGCCCAGCACTATTACGAAGTCTGGGCGTTCAGTTTCATCCAGCAGCGAGTGGTAAGTTCAATGGCGTGGGAGATGGAAATTGTGATGGAGGAGGAAGCAGCATGTCAACACCTAAATCAGGTGGACACTGGAATAAACAAAGAATGGCATGGTTTTGTCGATGATGCACATACATAAGTAAGGTGTCCTGTCGAGGTCGACCGGTGGCCCAGTGGCCTGCGCACCCGGTTTGCAACCATAAAGTCACCGGTTCGAATCCGCGTAGGGGTGTAGTCGTCCTCGAAGGAGACTCAGCCCGCGCGCGATTTATAGTGATCGTACAGCAGCGAAGCGCCGTTAAGGCGTGCGGCTGATACATTTTCTTTATGCGGTCAAAATACACTGAGCTAAGGAAAAACAGTCACTTGGCTAGTTTGTAAATGTAACTCAGGCGGCGGTTTCTGGCTAACGAAAACAGACTAGTGCAAGAAGTAAATATACTGCATTAACGAATTTGTTATGTGAGACCGTTATTCGAAGTTTTTGAGGTTAGTTTAAGTGCCAGTAACCACCGCTGAAGCTCATCAGACAAGATCTTCTCAACTGAAACCCCATATGTTTGAAGTCAGCCAACAAGAGAACATGTTGGCTAGAAGCTAGCCGACCGGAGTGTATGACGGTCAATGAAATCACGAAATTCTCCAATGGGGCTTTTTGATCCAAGCAACCAGAAGCATTTAGACCAGTGATGTAAAACTCGGGAACCCCCTAGGAGGGCAGTATGGGGAAATAATAATAAATAAATAAATAAATATATATATATATATATACATATACGAGGGGTGGTCAAAAAAACGAAATTTCGCTATAAAATGCTTATTGCCCACTGTACACCATTTACGCGCCTTCACTCATAAAGTAGTCCCCTATACTGGCATCACACCGTTCCCAACAGTATTTCGGTACTCCTGGGACGTACTTTCTGAGACGGCGGGCAGGTCTCTTGTCACAGTGTACTGAATCTCTTCTATGGTTCGAAAAAGACGTTCTTCCAACGTGGTTTTAAGTTTGGGAAACAGGTAAATTACTGCAGGGGCTAGGTTCAGAAAATACGGTGGATGGGACACAACGGGAGTATGATGTCTTGCTATAGCTACGGACAAAGAGCGATGCGTGAGCTGGTGCATTGTCATACTGCGACATTCAAGTCTGGTTTTCAAAAGTTTAGTCCTCTTCTTGCGCACAGCATCCCTTAAACGCAGTAGAAACTGATGAGATGATCCAATGATGATAGTCAATTCGTCAGCAACCTAAGGAACAGTTGAATGACGATTTCCACGGATCATAGCACGAATTCTCTCGATATGGTCACTGTTTGTTGATGTGGAAGGTCGTCACCGACCGACATTCTGTCGTGTTCAAAGCACTTAAAGTACTCGTAACATTGTGTCGGCCGGTGGCCGAGTGGTCTGCACGTTTGGTTTGCAACCATAAGGTCACCGGTTCGAAACCGCGTAGGGGTGGACGGCCTCGCGTACGCCACTGGTGGTGATCATGCGGCATCGAAGCGCCGTTACGGCGTAAAATTTACACATTATTATATTATTATTATTATTATCAATATTACATAGCACTGTGTGCGACTCATTCAGCCCTTCTCGTAGCTTAGCAAAGAAAATGAAGTGTTTATGTAAACGTTCTGCCAAGTTTGTAGCAACATTTTATATACACACGTAGCTCTTCAATGCCACTTTCGCAAAAAAATCCAACGAGCAGCTTGTGCATGTGCTTACCACCAGCTGTAACCCCAACCGACAGACAGAGCGAAATGCGGAAATTGGTAGTTGCTTGTCTAAGCACGCCTCCAGAGACGCTCAGCAGCCGCGCTAATTCAAAAGTGCGGTTTATTTTGAAAATCCCTCGTTTATATATATATATATATATATATATATATATATATATATATATATATATATATATATATATATATATATATATATATATATATATGGTTGGCGGCATCCGGTTCCGGATTAGCTTGTCACTGTGATCTCTACAAGACACCTGCGCCTACAGAGGGACCATGGATGGCTTGCGCTGCACCACCTACAGCTCCAACCACACACCCCATATCCAGTGTAAACCCGAAGGAATAAGACCGGGAGGCATGTGGATGGGAACCACGTTTCATCAACGGAGCAGGCCCACACTCCTTCATAGGCAAACACAAGCACGCTGTATTTGGGGAATCAAGCGCACACAAGGCGGTGGCTGGACCGTAGTCCGCTCCACACTGAGTGCATGGAACCACTCTTCGAGCCTAGCACGGCCACAAGGACCATGCACCCCGTCCCCTCCAGCAACGACCAACTGTCTCCTGGAGCCAGTATGGACGAGGTAGTGGGTAATAGACAGGTAGGCACCTTGTCAACATGCACATCAAGCGCAGCCACACCGGGGATATCAAGCAACAGCCAATCACTTGAAACGACAAGATGAAATAAAATAAATCGGATAATGCACACAGATACGGTGACATAACTGTTCAATAAATGGACTTATAAAAAAATCACTTCCGAACGAATCCGCGATAGGCTCGATGTTAGAAAATTAATCTCAAGAAAATGCCACAATCGCGAAAATGTATTCGAAATTAATTACCATTAGCTTCAGCGACGTGTGCAAGTTAATAAAAGACATTACAGGTAGAGATTAATATGAGAAAGAAAAGCATTAGGACAAAATTGAAAACCCACCACCTGAAAGAAATAGACTTAGCATGTAAGCAAGCGGTTAGTAAATCGAATGCAGCATACCTACAAACGCTGCGCCGGTTCTGCCTACGTTCTCTGCAGGACCCGTCGTCGCTTCGGTGGTGGTCCCGAGTTGCCTCGCTCATGGCTCACTAGGCCTGACTGACTCAGGCAATCGCGACCGCATGTGCTACAGCACCATGCGCTCGCTGTCGATGGAGTACAGCCCATCGGCGCCTGTCGCTTCTGCACTTGCCGCTTCCTCACAGCGTGCAAGAGGTCTTTCTCCCGCACTTCCGCAACTGCCTTCGTGATCAGAGCGCGCCATGCACGCCGATCAACCGCCTTCGACTCCCATGACCAGCAATCAGGATTAGAACGTGAAAGGCCCACTTTGATCATGTCCTGCTAACGTAACTTTGGTTTCTTCACATGCCGTCTCCCAAAACTCATCTGACCATATAATAGCTGCTTCGGTATCCGCATCGAATCCTGACGGCCCACATGACCGAGCAACACCAAGTGTCTCAGTAAAAGTATGCAGTCCAGTGCATACATTCCAGTCCGGCGCAGCATCTACGTGTCGGCAATTCTGTTGCAGGAACCCATACTACAATCCGTCGCAAACGCTGTTGACGGAACCGCTCGAGATATCGCACATCCCGACGGTACATTGTCCACGTTTCACTGCCGTTTAGAAGAACGGACAGCACCATGGACTTGTACACCATCAGCTTCGTGCCAATGCTAAGCTGATGGTTGTTCCGCACTCGGTACTTAAACTTTTCGAATGCCGCCGCTGCCTTCGACACGCGGATACGCAGCTCCCTGTGTAGCTGCTGATCATTCGACATCACACTCTCAAGGTAGCTGAAACGGGAGGTGGTCTGCAATACTTCAGCACCAATGCTGATTCGCGGCAATATTGAAGATTGCACCTCCTGTGAAGGCTGAAAGAGACAGACAGTTTTGCTGGTGTTGGTGGTGAGCCCGAATTTGGCTGCTGTCGAAGCCAGAGCACTAGTCATGTGCTACAACTCATCCGCGCTGTGTGCAAACAGCGCAGTCGTCAGCAAACAGCAACATACGGATAGTTGTCTCACAGACTAGAGTTCTCGCACCGAAACGACGGATGTTCAGCAACCCACCATCAATACGGTGCTCCACACGAACACCGTAAGCACAAACCGCATTAAAAGCACAAGACATCATGGAATGAAGATATATATTAAACTGGGCAGGAGCTAAGACACAGCCTTGCTTCACACCAGAGACAACTGCAAAGTCATCCGAGATTTCTCCACTAAGCCGCACCCTCGCCCACATAACACTGTGTAGACATTCAATTAAACGTACAAAAATACGCAGGCAACCAAACTTACCCAACACCAGCCACAATGCATCGCGGTTCACCGTATCAAATGCCTTGCTGAAATAAACAAAAACGAGTACAATGGCTGGTGTCGTTCTCCGCACTTCACCTGCAACTGACGATCCGCAAACACTTTACCTATAGTGCTCCGACCTGAACGGAATCCACATTGCTCTTCAGATACGTTAGGTTCCACGACCTGACTGACGAGACGGTTGAGCAAGATTCGGTCAATCACCTTGCCCACACAACCCAGCAAGTTGATGCCACGATAATTCGTG